ACGTTGGCCTTCTCTGAGATAATCTTCTCCTGTGTCGTGGGTGCGTTTACAAACATACAAGTTCACATACGCATGATCCCCAAACCAGGAACAACAATGTGTGGATTACACAAAGAGTTGTTCGTTCAGCCACCGCGTGCCGTGCCGTCACTCTCACTGGCTGTTGGTGGTTAAGTACCTGAGATACCTGATACCTAGTTGATATTTATAGCACATGTTGGTACGCACATAATTAGTAGTACAAATACTTAAAATAATAAGAAACACAATAAGTGAGTAATGAAAAGTAATCTCCAGTTTCATAGGAGAAAGCTCCAGGCACAAAAATGTTCTATGACCATAGGCATCTTCTAAATCAATTGCTGTTTGTTGTTCTCGAAAAACTCGAAAATGGAAGGACTTGGGTAATTTTGATTTGGAAAACAATTGTGAAAGTTCCGGTGAAGATTAAAGGTAGGAAAATGTAAAATAAGCAATTGCAAGGAAATTACTAAAATAAATTTTCAATTTTCTTTTCTTTTCTCAGACAAACTGCCCTATAATAAATGCTATTAGATTATGACATAGAACAAATGAGTGGTTATTGAATAGTTAGCCGGATCAGCAAAAAAAACAAATGACACTTCAGTGACGTCAGACCAAAAATGATAAGGCCAGGAACATATCAGGTTCTCTTTCTAAATCCAAATTATTGCCGCCTTTAGAACATTATAAAATAAAACAATTGACATGTCAATGACGTCAGACCGAAAATGACAAGGCCAGGAACATATCGGGTTCTCTTTCTAAATCCAAATTATTGCCGCCTTTAGACATTACAAAAAAAAAAAACAAATGACACCTCAGTGACGTCGGACTCAACAAGGCAAGGGCTAATATAAAATTAAATACGTGTTCTCTTTCCAAATTCAAATTATTGCCGTGTTTCATTTAATAAAAATTAGGTATGCCTTGTCTCGTTTTTGTACTTAGAGTTAAGAATACATTTGTTTGGTATACAGACTTCTTTGATAAATGTACAAATATGATTTATGTTAAGAGGTATTTTGTGTGTTGCGAATAGCCGTTTAACAAAGAACAAATTATTTATGTATAAAAAAAAATCAACACTCTCCGTAATGATCGGGAAATACTAGTAATAAAAAGTGTCTTAGAAGTATGACGGGACTTAAACAGACTGAGTCATGCAAAGACATGTTCAGGAGATTAAAAATTTTAACTCTGCCTTCATTATTTATCTATGAAGCCGCAATAATGGTAAAAAGTGATATCAACAAATATGAAATGCTTAGAAGTACACGACATAAAAATGAATTATCAGAAATTAGATGTAGGACAATTAAATTCAAATCTAGTGTATTTGGAATTGGAGTGAAAATTTATAATAAGATACCAAATAGTATGAAGAATATTTCAGCTATCAATCTCTTTAAACTTAAACTAAAGCAGTTCTTGATAAATAAAGCATATTACACAATAAAGGACTATTTAAATGACAAGACACTGGGATAGCTGCATTCTGACAAACTGATAGTAAATGTATATTCAATATTCAACGTACAACAATTTTATGTATAATTTTGACTTATATTCATGAATTTTAATTTTTAATTTCTTTATTTATGGACTTCATCATTAGGCATTTGACAAATGTTAATATTTGGACCAATGTGGTACAACTTGACCACTGACTAATTACCCGATTAATATTGTCTAAAAAATTAAAGTTGACTAAATGTTTCAATAAATTTAATATAATAATTTGACCAAGGTTTAATAAATTAATGTAATAATTCAGTTAAATTCGATAATGTAAGGTAATGTAAGGACTTGTCATATTTATTGTAATGATTTAACTGATGCAACAAAAAAATTAATAATATTTTGAGACTAGTAGAATAATCCAAATAACATAAACTATTGTACACCTTATAGGTATGTTACTATGCTACTATTATACCTCTAATATATATAACATCTATTGTCAACATGTAACAAACAATAAATGAATTTGAATTTGAATTTGAATTTGAATAAATTATCATAAAATGGCTCCATTACGACGTGAAAGAAAGACAACCAAATTCACTTTTGTGTGTATTACTTAATCACGTCAAAACGACTAAAAACATCGAAATTAAATTTGGAACACCATGGATCATGGTAGATCATTGTGTAGAATAAGACATAGGTTTTTTATTCCACGTGAACTTGGACGAAGCCACTGGCAGAAGCTAGTTGTCTAGGCTAAACAAACGTCACATTAGACATGTAATCAAGCCATTACTCAGTACAAGATCCTCAATCTCCACGGCTTTAGACTGCATTGTATTAAGACATGTGTCTGCGACCTAATTACGACCTACTTGCTTATGATTAACGTCTTAAGTGATGATGCACCTGAGCATTGCTAATTATGATATTATCTGTGTTCGTGAATGTGTGTTTAGCTGGTTTTTACCGGTTAGAGCTGGTTTAAGCGGTTTAAAGTGCATTTGTAAATAGGGAAACGAATGCGTAAGGATGGTATGAGTCGGTAAAACAGTTGTTGTTTTGTATTCCCCCGAAGGCGAGTTCATATGTACCTAATACTGTATGCAACTTTAAATGTTAAAAGGTAATATAATGGCACAAGAGAAATTGCTATGGCATCTTATTTAATTTAAGATGTAAATCGGTTTAGTATAGGATAATGAGTGTTTTTTTTTATGGAATAGGAGGCAAACGAGCAGACGGATCACCTGATGGTAAGCGATCCTCGCCGCTCATGGACACCAGCAATACCAGAGGAGTCACAGGTGTATTGCCGGCCTTTTAAAAAGGAATACGCTCTTTTCTTGTCAAACAAACTCACTAGGTACTTAATATTTTATTCAAAATTACACCACTGCATACAATTTCATTTCTCCTTATTATAAATTGTTGCGTTTATTACTTATCCTATGTCATTTCAAGTGTGAACTCATTATAGACCGAGACCAATGAAGCAGACTAAATATTATGAAAAGAAAAAAAATAAAAGACTAAAACCTCATTTCGTAGCGAACTTCATTTGAAAGCTATAGTTCTATTTCAGACGACCATATTGCAGTCGCTGTGTCGCCAGAAAGTTCAAATTATTTAAAAAATAATTAACTTCGGATTACAGAGACTTAGCAAGTTGCTTCTCGACTGAGATATCGCTTATTCAACGCGATGTTTCCATTTAAGTATATTTTGGAAAATAGAAATACAATATCATATTATAGTTATCTTCTTTTTGAAGGGGTAAGCAGATAGATGCACACATTATTATTAATTACCAATAATAAATGTAATTTGCACTTTTCCGTTTGTTAACAATATTATGAATCCTATGAATTTCCATGTAATAGGGCCCAGACCTATTAACCTTGATAATTTTTGAACACCGAAAACTCGATAAGTACCGATTTTTCTAACGCCAGATAAATTTTAACAGCGGAATAACTTTGAATATTTGTCAACTTTTCAATAGTAAAAACTACCAAATGTCAATTTTATTTTACTGTAAAAACGTGGTCGAAAAATCGGTCCTAAAGTCTTATTTTGACCACCTCACCAATGGGGCAAGATAATCTGTCTTGCCTCATTCAAAGCTAGAAAATTACTAATAACATTTTGCACATAACAAGAAAATTATAAAAAAAGGTGAGTACTGTTACCTAGTACCCAAATAAGACAAAAAGTCGTTACAAATTCAAAATTATTTGTTTACCAACAAATAAATAAGTAGCCACGAATGAACGAGGCACCCCAAAATTGGGGCGGCCATATTGGAAGTCGGTGTATTCCTATAAATAGTTAAGTATTAATAAAGTACATAAGTAAAATATTATACCTACTGTTAGAGGAAAATCCTTCTTCGAGATAAATCCTTCTTAGAGGAAAATCCTTTTCAGCCTAGTACATTTGTGCGATGACGTCAGCTGGAAGGGTTGACAGGAGTGACACGAGAACGGAGCAGTGCTATGCAGCCGTTCCCTCTTTTTGCGCGCGACGAGATGGTTGTGTGGTTGTACTCTCAAGGGCAATTTGGAACATTAGTGACCGCTAGTCTGAATTATAGTTATTTGTAGTTTTGTTACTTTTAGTTCTCGTTTAGGTTATTTTGCTTATGTTAAAATTGTAATTAAAGAGAGGTTAGGACTGTCAGTGTGTTTCTTTTTAAAAAACTATATTTGATAGACGTTTCTAAGATCAGAAGTGGGATCATTTACTATCATTTACGCGACTTTGATCGTTCTCCATCCTCTTATTTTAAAAAACTACGTGTCGATCAATCTTTTTCTAGTAGTTTGGTGCTTTGTTCTTTTTGTAAATAGTTGCGGTTAGTAATTATGCCGAGTAGTGATTATTCTGGTGGTGAAACGCCACCCATGCGTCGAAATAGGAGTCGTGATAGTCGAAAACGTAGGCATGGTTCACATAAACGCCGCGACCGTCGTTCAAAACGACGCGATCCGTTAAATCTGATTTTGCAAAGACTGAATGCCCTTGAGGAGCGCCTGCCGGTAACGGCGACTAGTTTGACCGCTCCGTCTCGTCCTCGCGTTCGAAGCAGCCCCTCGGCCGTGGTCTTGGACGTCACCGAGACTGCTGCTGAGGTTGGCGTGGCGACGCCCTCTACGAGCCAGCCTGCGGAAACGCCACGCGATACCAGCAGCATGGCGGATGGGATTGTCGGATTGTCGGTGCACTCTCTTCATTGTTAAACGTAAGATCTATGCATTACTACATTTTGAATTTCGATCCAAGTGTGCATGATTTTGATGTGTGGGGCGGAGGTAGACCGAGGCCGAAACTTGAACGGTTGAGATGATTATGAGTGTTTTGGGCGTATTGCTGGTTGCCTACGCGGTGACGCCAAAACGTGGCTGAACCATTGGGTAACAAGCGATCGCTCGTGGTCGAATTTTAAAGCCGAGTTCCGATCGTTGTGTCCACGTGAAGTTGATATAGCAACTGTGCTGTATGAAGTTATGAGTTCAACGTCTGACAAGTTTACTACGTATACAGAGTACGCTCGAATGTCCCTACTGCGGTTAAATATCGTACGAGGGCTTTTGGATGAGCTCAAAACCGCCATAGTAATTCGTGGCATCTCCGATCCTCAAGTGAAAGCCGCGGCTACCAACGATAAACTGCAGCCAAAAGATTTGGTCGAATTTTTGTCCGTGTACGTTAAACCTAAGAATACGCAAAGTGCTACCGGTAATCCCATACGCTCGTCAGCTGCTGAAACGTCCAATCCTCGTAACTAGGAGAGGACAGGCGACATGTTTCTCGTGTGGTAAATGCGGTCACAAATAAGCTGATTGTTTTAAAAGATCAAAAGTTCAGCCACTTCTAATTCTAGATTTACCTCCTCTGAGACTTCAAATGTTGAAGATATGAAGTATAATTCAAAACCAGTCAAAGTGATTTGCACCTATTGTAGGAAAACCGGTCATCTTGTTGCAACGAATGGATTCTTACAAACGGATGGATTTCTAAGTCCAATGATAAAAACAGTAGTGACGTAAATTTTTGCTCTGTGTCGATTCCGGACGAAACAACGTGATGACGGCGATTATTCAAAAACTACCCGTAGATGTTTTAATTGATTCTGGGTCTGAAATTTCACTTATTTCTAGATCGGTTTTTAAAGCTCTTTAGTTTTAATCAATTGCCAACCTGTCGTAGATTGCGAGGTATCGGCAGTCAAGATATCGAGTCTACTTCTTTTGTTAAGACTATAATTGAGTTCTCTCAATTCTCATTAGAGGCGGATCTTTATGTAGTACCACCAGATTGCATTCAGGCACCTGTCTTGGTAGGGACCGACATTTTAAATCGAGAGAGTGTCACCAACATTAGAACGAGTGACTCACAACGATTGATGAGAGTTGATCAAGTGTACAATGTGTCGTCTGTGGAGCTGGCTGACCAAGTGAAGACACCTTTAGTTGGATGACAAGAAACGTTTGTTATCTTTGATTGACGAGTTTTCTGGAACGTTCACCACTGGCACAGCGATCTCCACAGTAAACACAGGGAGCATGGAGATTAGGCTTAGCAGTGACAGTTTGATAAGTTATCGACCGTACAAGCTTTCTATAGACGAGAAGTTACGCGTTCGCGGCATAATTAGTGATCTTTTGAGTAAGGGCATCATACGAGAGTCCCAATCAGACTATGCAAGTCCTATCATCCTCGTAAAGAAAAAGAACGCGGAAGATAGTATGTGCCGTAGACTACAGAGCTTTAAACGCTGTCACTGTTAAAGAAAGATTTCCATTACCACTAATCGATGACCACATCGATAAATTGGGCAACGCCAAGTATTTTACCAGTCTAGATATGGCCACTGGCTTTCATCAAGTACCAATGAAAGTCGATGCCTCCATTAGTAAAACTGCTTTTGTGACGCCTGAAGGGCATTATGAGTATTTCAAAATGCCCTATGGGCTGGCTAACGCCCCAGTCGTATCAACGCGTTATCACAAAGACACTCAAGCATTTTATGGACACTGGCCATGTATTGACCTATATTGATGATGTACTGATCATGTCCAATTCAATCGAGGAAGGCCTAAAGATATTGCGTGAGGTTTTAAAAACTCTCTCAGCGGCAGGCTTCTCGGTCAATTGAAGAAATGTACGTTTTTAGATCCGGAGGTTGAATACTTAGGACGGCTGATTGGGCATGGTCAGGTACGGCCGAGTCCGAGTAAAACTGATGCTCTAATTAAGTCCCCGAAACCCACAAATGTAAAAGAGTCAGTTGTATGTCAGTTTTTGGGGCTGGCAGGTTATTTCCGCAGGTACATTGCTGGATATGCCTCGAAGACTGCTTGTATTGCCAAGCTACTGAGAAAAGGCGTGCCTTTTGTTTGGGGACCAAACGAGATGTTGCGCTGAGCGACTCTCGTCCGAACCGAGAAGCCCTGCAGACTTTGAGAAGACAGAAGGTCTCGGAACTGCTTGCTGCCAATCAGCAACGACAGGACACCTATGTTAATGAGGGTCGTCGACAACCCCGTACTTTTTCTGTTGCCAGTTTCGTGTTCGTCAGCAAGGGTTCACAAAGTACCGGCAAACTCGATTCCGGGATGCGTGGTCCGTACAAAGTTGTCCGGGCATTGCCTCATCACCGTTACGAGCTTGAGTTGTTAGCAGGCTCATATGGAAAAAAGACTCAGAGCGCCGCAGAACATATGGTTCAGTGGTGGGGTGAGTGGATCCCGGATACATGCGAGGCATTTTCCGGGACTGGTGAGTGAGCTCTGTTTACCTGGTACCCTTGTGGGGTAGCCAGAACGTCACGTAGGTGACCATGTTTGTGTTTACCTGGTACCCTTGTGGGGTAGCCAGAACGTCACGTAGGTGACCATGTTTGTGTTTACCTGGTACCCTTGTGGGGTAGCCAGAACGTCACGTAGGTGACCATGTTTGTGTTTACCTGGTACCCTTGTGGGGTAGCCAGAACGTCACGTAGGTGACCATGAGTGCGTTTACCTGGTACCCATGTGGGGTAGCCAGAACGCCACGGAGATGTCCTGACTCCTCGATGCGGAGGTTTGTCAGAGGGCTTCGTAAGTGGCTTCTTGATTTGTTGTTATTTATGTTTTGTCCTGGCGGTTGCCAGAGGGCCACTTACGAGTGCTTCTTGTTTTACTGTTGCTCATATTATGTTTGTTGACATCGTTCATGAGTAGAGCTCCTCATTGACGATGCCTTCTTGCTTTGGTTACCATTTGTAATTGGATTGCTTGAGTGCACGCTTGCTATCCGTTTGCAAAGTGAACCAAAGCCAAAATAATACATCACTACAATGTTGTTTTAACATTTCAGAAGAGAATGATGTTGATGAAGAACCATCAAATGAGGCTGTTGTAGAAATTCAAGCTGACGAGGCCGTTCAGCTGTCAGGAACGGCCGTGTTAGAGGAAAATCCTTCTTCGAGATAAATCCTTCTTAGAGGAAAATCCTTTTCAGCCTAGTACATTTGTGCGATGACGTCAGCTGGAAGGGTTGACAGGAGTGACACGAGAACGGAGCAGTGCTATGCAGCCGTTCCCTCTTTTTGCGTTGGCGCTCGGACGAGATGGTTGTGTGGTTGTACTCTCAAGGGCAATTTGGAACATTAGTGACCGCTAGTCTGAATTATAGTTATTTGTAGTTTTGTTACTTTTAGTTCTCGTTTAGGTTATTTTGCTTATGTTAAAATTGTAATTAAAGAGAGGTTAGGACTGTCAGTGTGTTTCTTTTTAAAAAACTATATTTGATAGACGTTTCTAAGACTACTTAATTCTTGTTCTTTGTTTAGCGATACCCTAAGGACTTTCGGATTTTTGTGTCATATATTTGATTCTTTGTAGGACCTACATACTTTAGTTTCGGCTGGCTTTGTTTCGGTTGTATATAAATTCTAAATTAACTTACGAAAGTAGTACAAAGTTTTAAGTTTTTTAAGTGTGGAAGAGCCATGCTTCGGCACGAATGGGCCGGCTTGACCGGAGTGATACGACGGCCTCACAGATAACCGACGTGAAGCAACGCTTGCGTTGTGTTTCGTCGTGTTAGTGAGGCTACCGGAGGCCCAGCTCCCTCCCCGCTTTCCCAATCTCCCCAATCCCCGAATCCGCAACAATCCTCAAACTCCTAATCCTCAAAATTACTAAAAAAAATTACTAAAAATTACTAACGCACTTGTAACTCTTACGCCGATGCTTCTACGCCGATTGCTTACCATCAGGTGATCTGCCTGCTCGTTTAACGGCATATGCCATAAGAAACAAGTTTTGGAATCGAAACAATATTTTGTTAATTATTGTGTTTTCGGCTTACTCACGTAACTGTTCGATTAGAAACTCGACTAGTTCCTTTAGTAAGCCTCGTGAAAGTTTTACATTTAGAAACATAATATTTTGTATCGATAATATTATAATCTACGACAGGGCTGTCTAAATTATAGGTACTTATACCCTCACAGACTAATTAAATTTCTTACAAAAACTGGAGGGCCAGAAAAATGTTTTCAGCTGTATAATGACGTTTAACATTGTATTCTTTACTCGCAGACTAAACTTATACAAATCATATGCTGAATTTTATTATTGTTGTGACACATAGGATATATGAAAACAAGCCTCTCTTTGGACAGCCCTGACCTACGACATACATTTGTACTTCTATCCTGACTTTGATATCGTTAATGAGGAGTTTGTATGTATGTTTGTTTGTTTATTCTGCCTTTACGTCTGAATATCAGAGATGGTTTCATTATGTGTACCTTGTATGGGATCTTAAACTTCAAGTGACGTTTCTTAACTACTTTTCTGTAGTCTGGTTTTGTTATTTTTAGAAACATGAAGATATACAAATGGCAATACGCTCACCCCCTATTACATGGGACTCAAAACATTAATAGTGAAAAGTGGGTGTTACATTGTACTGTGGCATTAAGTGCCGTAATGTGCACCTCTGCCTACCCCTTCGGGGGTAAAACGCATGAAGTTATGTTATGTTTTGTGTAGATACAGTCAACAGTCACATGAAGGGAAATAAAATATCAATCGAGATTCGAGGATCGAAACCTTGAGATATTTGGCTAGCTATATATATACATAGAACTACGGGTTATATTTTACATACTCTCAATATAGTTTTCAGGGCTGTATTTGATTTACAAGAATTAACCTTCACAAAATTAAATCTAAATAAGAAAAGTAATTTTCTCACTAAATATATTGATGCTAGCTTTTACCCGGGCTTTGTACGTGTGTTCCGGTTTTATTGCATGGGAGCATTTAATCAGGATATAAAGTCCTATCCTATAACCTAAGTCGACCCATACCCTGTCTGTAGGTTCTGTCTAATTTTTTTCAAAATCTGTTCAGTAGTTCCAGCGCGATTGACTGACAAACATCCAACCAAAGAACCTTTTGTATTTATAATATCTGTGTGATATTTTCAAATTAGGTATATTTGTGTATCTTATTGTCTTCAAACCCTTTCGTTGTTGTCTAATAATGCAAATTCTGTGAAGGCTTTCGTATAATTAGCGTAATTTATGAAACTGTGTCCAAGGGTCGATGGTAAAGGCTTGACATTGATGTAGGGTTGTGAAACAAACAAAAAAGTTATTATAATTACAAATACAATTAAGGCTAAGACTTTGTTCACGTGGATGCATATTTTTTTGTTTGGAATTTTGTTTTTAATTGAAAACTGCGTTTAAAAACCGACGTCAAAAACCCAAAAACTAAAAACAAAGAAA